AAAGGGAAACTTGCAGGATTTCACAGCATAAATGCCAAAGAAGCCAAGAAGCAATTTCCTATTGCTCTTCACAATTCACTCTGCAAGTGCATCTTGCTCAATAGTACAGAAAATTGTTGAGAGACCAACAAGAGAGAGCAAGGTAGCACAGCCCAACTCTCTCCTCATAAAAGTTGTCAAGAAAATCAACCAACTCTGTTTCAGTATTACACCCAAGCCTGAAATGAGACTGAAATAGATCTATAAAATGGATATTCTGATTAGTAAGGTAACTAAGGCCCTGGTTATTATCCCAGGGTGAATGTCCCAATAACTTTTATCGGTACCAATTTATTTCCTCCTATTTGAATCGTTATGGCCGGCTACACCATGGTAACACTTCTTAACTGTTACAGCAGTGCAGCAATGGAACAAATTACCTTGGGAGGTGGTGAGCAATTCAACATTGGAGGCATTCAAGAGGAAATTGGGCTGCTATCTGTCAGTTCTGCTTTGATTTGGATTCCTGCATTGAGCAGGGAGTTGGACTCAATGGGCTTACAGGCCTCTTCCAATTAAATCATTAAATGAATTTATGAATTTATAAAATCTCCACTGGTTCCAATTATACAGTTCCAATGGAGCACTTCTTCATGGCATGCATTTCAGTATAAAATACTTTCTTCCAGGAAAGTATACATGGCAGGTCACATCACAAACTTCTATAAGTTCTCCCTCACATTACATGCCTATTCCTTAGTTGCTGTATGTACAAATAATCACACAGTATGAGGTTTAAGCACAGTGTTAACAATCTATAGCACCACATCTATATTACAGAAAGTGTTTGGTCATGGCCTTACTCTGCATACCTGACTAGAAATGAGAACTTGATTGAAGTGTCTGAGACTACTGGCATGACTGAGAGTTCTCAATGTTTCTTCAGCGCCTAGGCAACTATGAGCATGCGTCTCCTGGCTTTCTCTGCAGCACTAAAGTTCAATTCTTACACCACAGCTTTCAGTTTTCATCTGCATCTGAACAATTTGATGGAAACTGGGTACTATGCATTGGAGGCTGATATAATTTTGTTTAGATCACAGTGTCCTACCTGTGTTTTCTCTACGCCATGCTTAATGAATTCAGTCTCAGCTTTCTTTAGATGAATGTTTCCCAAACCTAAGTCCCCAGATGATGATAGACTCCAGTTTCCAGACACCCTGACCATTGGCTATGCTGCTGGGATTTTTGAGAACTGGGGTTCAACAACATTTCGAGACCCAAGATGTTTGGAAACTGAAGTCCAGTAGCATTTGGGGACTGTGCTAGATGATGTTTGGCATTTTATTGTTTTGACCTATATACTGCCCCATAGTGCTAGAGCAGCAATCCCCAACTCCGCTCCCTGGCCTGGGCCAGACCGGGCCGCCGAAAGAGACCTCCCCGCACCCCACCCCCTGGCCTGGGCCAGACCGGGCCGCCGAGAGAGACCTCCCCACACCCCACCCCCGTGCGCACTCACTCCTGCGCTGCCCATTTGCGCCTGTGCGCATGGTCCTGCTTGCCCGCACAAGCGCCGCACGCCGTTTGCGCATGAGCACACGCTGCCATTTGTGCATGCGCATGAGCGGTTGTGTGCATGTGCAAATGGCGCTCGTTTGTTCATGGCAGACCGGGCCGCCGAGAGAGACCTCCCCACACCCCACCCCCGTGCGCACTCACTCCTGCGCTGCCCATTTGCGCCTGTGCGCATGGTCCTGCTTGCCCGCACAAGCGCCGCACGCCGTTTGCGCATGAGCACACGCTGCCATTTGTGCATGCGCATGAGCGGTTGTGTGCATGTGCAAATGGCGCTCGTTTGTTCATGGCTGCGTGTGCCTGCACGCATGCGCAAATGGCGGTGCGCCGCTCATGCAGGGTCGTGCCCGCCTGTGCAAGAGAGAGAGCTTGTTCGCGCATGCGCATGAGCGTGGTGGTGCCCGCCTTCCCCAGCCAGTCCATGGACCGCAAAAGCTTGGGGAACACTGTGCTAGAGCACTCTCTGGGCAGTTTATAACATAATTATGTAAATAACATTTTGCCCCCCAGTGAGCTGGGAGCTCATTTTACCGAATTCAGAAGGAGGAAAGGCTGAGTCAACCTTGAGCCGGCTGCCTGAATTTGTTGAGATTGAACTCAGGTCCTTTTCTTACCCAGCTATCTGATAGAAAAAAGTGAACACTGTTTTGATTCATTGTGTTTTTGTCAGACGAGATTAAAAGCTCAGAACCAAGGACATATACAAATCCTTTACACGGCAGAAAGAAAATATGTAAAAAAGCTGCCGAAGGTTAGGTTTACTCTAAAAAGAAATGCCTATCACATTTCAAATTTGTCACTTATGCGCAAGGATGTTTTCCCCCTGCCTCCTTACATAAATTCTTTCTTCACATTATAAAACAAAGGTTCTAAGCAAACTTTTAAATGAGAACTTCAAACCACTGGATATCTGCCAGAGAAATTAGCAGTTCTATAACTTCCCAGATACAACAGAAGAATCCAAGATTTAAATTTACACTTGTGGTTGTCATTTTTAATGTCTATTATCAGCCAAATCAAAGAGATTTGTCTCATAGGATCTTGAGGAAAAGTGTAACCCATACATTGGCTAAGAAGTAGAAACATGCAGTCCCTCAGTAGGAACTTTCATTCTACTGTATGACTACAGAGCAAAAGATTTCTTTTCCTCCTCTTCTGTTTCCTTTTCTCCACGCTGTGTTCACATATGGCAACAAACATATACAATCAGAAAGAATGCCTGTTTTTAATACCAAGATCATGCCCTTCTGTTTAGAGCTTTCTGGCTGCTACAGATTGCCAAACCTTGAAACGGAGTCTCAGCAATTCTGTACAAACTATACGGGTGAATGAGATAATGGAAAAGTAAATAGAAAAGTTCAATTTGGATCAAAGAACACAACATCAAGAATACAAGAATGTGTGCTTAGATTTCCTACACAGTCAGACCAGTTAAGATTAATGTATATCTCTGAGCTCTATGTGCCTGAAACTATATGCACATAAACAAACCACCCCCTATCTTCCAACTAGTTAATTACAAAACAAAAGCAAAATCATTTGCCAAAGGCATATTGAGGCAAGCTCATATCAGAATAAATAGACAGCCTTTTCCTGCCACAGGTAACTGCTTTTAGATTTGGAACCAGTGTTTCATTTTGTGAGGTAGTTGGTTTTGCATGCTCTAGAACAATGGTTCTTAACCTTTCTGAAAGAAACGCCCCCTTGAGCTATTGAGGAAGTTATCATCGCCCCCCTCCCCGCACTGATATGATATCTTATTTATTTATTTATTTATTTATTTATTTATTTATTTATTTATTTATTTATTTATTTATTTATTTAAGACAC